GTATTGTCCTTCCTTACTCACTTTTTTGTTTGACACACTTAGTTTTACAAATGCAAAAATAATGCAGTGGGATTCCATAATGTTTACCAATAAAATTAAAAACTTAAAAGTCTTATAACACCCACTTTATTATCTTTTTGCATGATTTTCACATTTTTAAAAGGATATTCAATATTTATACCCTTTTCATTATTGTATTTTGCAGCTACTATTTATCATTTTATCACCTATTATTAGTTTATTTTCATTTTTTTGCTATTTTAAGTTAATGCATCTAGAATATCATCCAGTCTTTCCATATTTTGGATTTTTTTAACAGCTTTCCACCAGTACCATCTGTTAAAAATATGATTCTAGGACTGAAACTTCTTGAGAAATTGCTCTCATGACATACTATGCTATAAACGTGCTGTGGCAGCAGCCCCCAGTGACCTCCACGTTAACAAGTCCAGTGGCTGCATCATCCTGGACATCTCCGTGATCCTGTTCACCACTCTCCCATTTTAAAGTCCTTCTCCTTTAGCTGCTGTGACATCACTGTCTCCTGATTTTTCTTATGGGTTGAATCTCTGCTCTGCCCTTATGATCCTGACCTAGTTACCTAGCCTTTCAGAGTTTTAGTGTCCTTGTTGGCATGATTATGGTCACTTGTCTTATTCCTTGGATTAAATTGCACACAAAGCCACAAGCGCAATGTCTGGTACAGAGTACAATATGATAAACGTATCCTTTCATTTCTGTCTCTGGCTCCTTACTTTCTACATAGATCTCTCTCATCTGAGGGGAAAACAAAGCACATGGTAACCTTTCCAGATAGGAAGGTCACGATGCCAGGTATGCTTCTAACAGAGTGGGCTGTTAGTCTTTCTAACACGTCAGAATTGTATGGTAAGATGTGGTTGTGAAATATGTTTGAGCTACACGAAGCTGAAAGTTTGGATTTTCTCTCACAGCTTCTCCTGGAGTGTTCTTGTTGTGGATGAAGCCCACAGATTGAAAAACCAAAGTTCTCTGCTGCATAAGACACTTTCAGAGGTAAACTCAAAGGATAGTTTTAGTTTTTACACACCCCCCTTCCTTTTTTAATAGACTTTATTTCTTAGAGCAAGTTAGGTTTACAACAAAATTGAATAGAAGGTACAGAGAGTTCCCATATATCCCCTACCCCTTTACAAGCCTAGCTTCCCCCATTCTCAGCCTCTTCCTGAAGAGAGATGTTAAAACTAATGAACCTACGTTGGCACCGCAGTGTCACCAGAGTCTGTAATGCTGGATTCACTCACTGTTGCGTGTCCTGTGAGTTTGAACAAACGGGTGATGGCATGTTTCCACCCTATAGTATCATGCAGAGCAGGTTTCCTGGCTCAGAAATCCTATACCCATCTGTCCACCGTTCCTTCTCCCCTCTAACTCCCCTTTGAAACCACTTAGTCTAGTCTATACAGAGCCAACTAAATGGAAACTTTATGATTATTATTATTTGTTCTAATTTGTAATATATGACAGCAGAATGCATTACAATTCACATTACCCATATAGAGCACAATTGTTCATATCTTTGGTTGTACACAAAGTAGAGTCACACCATTCGTGTCTTCATACATGTACTTCGGATAATGATGTCCATCTCATAAATTAAAACTTTTGTAATCAGACTTCTGCAGAGCTAAATAAACCTGTTTTGGAGGGCAGTGACAAAAGTAATATTTAATATGGCTAATTACTATTCCTTTCTCTTTTATGTAGAAGATAGCATTTACTAAAATCTAGTTATCAAATGAGTCAGACACTACCCCAATAAAATGCATTGTATTTTTGGAGATGTTTCAACTCTCTTTTGAGTGCTTTTAATTTTTCTCTTTTTTTTTAACAAATAAAGATCTTATACTCCTGTCTGCAGTTGCAGATGAATTGGATATACCTTACGCCTCCCCCAATTTACCTAATTTAGAAAGTTACCATTCACATGGAATCATGAAGAGACCAATTTCTTATAGCATATTGCCTTCAGTCTCTCGTCTGTTGTATTTTTAGTATGATACACTTGATTGCATTCCCTTCTCTTGATCTCTTGTATCATTCAGCAAAGTA